CTGGCCTCCATGGTACTGCATGACACAGGTTGCCTCACATACATGCAGGCTGTCTCAAAAAGACCAAAAAATAAAAATTAAAAAAAAAATAACACTCAGATCCAGGCCTGGTGGTTCATGCCTTTACTTCCAGCACTTGGGAGCAGGCAGATCTCTTTGAGATCAAGGCCAGCCTGATCTATATATCAAGTTCCAGGACAGCTGGGACTCACAAGGAGTCCCTGTCTCAAAAAAAAAAAAAAAAAAAAAAAAACCCAAAACAATCACATTGGGCACTGATTCTGATAAACATATTTCTTCTGCATAAGTCTCCCAATTAAGTTGCTTTTAGAAAATAAAAGGAATAGAGGACCAGATGATATTGTTTCATTTCTTCAGTCTGTAGTAGTTTTTGTAAAATCAAGATTATTTCATAGCTGCTCTCAAAAACAACCATTTGCTAAACTTAATATTCTGTGCCTCTGATTCTCTTTCAGTGGGTTGTCTTCTGGCCCCAGAGTATCCCTTATCAGAGCCTTGGGCCTCTGGGTCCCTTCACAAAGTACTTGGTGGACCACCATTACACCCTCCTACGAAACGGGTAAGTAAAGCTGCAGAAAGAGGTCATGAACACTTGCAGCTCTAGACTCTCTGGAGGCCTGGAAGGGCCAAATTACCTTTAGATATCTAACAGAGATGCTAGTTCAATTGAGACACAGTTCTTTTTAAAGTTTCTATGTTAGATTTCATTAGCAGATGGTTGTCACCTTAAATTTGAATGACTTTTTTGCCTTAGGTATTGGCTTGCCTGGCTGATCCATGTGGGAGAGTCTTTATATGCCATGGCATTATGCAAGTAAGTCTTTGTGATTGATCCTTGTCACCTTTCTCTTGATATGTAATACAAGTTGTGAGTAGCTATGTTTAAATAATGCATAGAATTTTCGGCTAAGAACACTCTCAAGTTGAGTCTGAGTCCCTATACCTAATGCTGAGCCTTGCACAGAAGGAGTACTCAGCAAATGTTTAATGAATGAATGTAGTTTGCTTGTGTTAATCAATTATTTAATTGAGACATGTTTGCTATATTTCAAAAATTCTGTCTAACCCAACTAGAATGAAAGGGTAGGAGTCTGTCTTTTAGTTTTCAAAAGAGATGAGTTATTGACCTAGGCTAGTGATTTTCAATCCTAGTTTCAAAACTGAATCAGTCAAGAAACTATTTCAGCATACGTATGTCTGCTTTCCAGACCCAGAGATTGTGATCTGATGGACCTTGCTTCAGACATGTTCTTTCTTAAAGCCCCTCAAATAATTCTGCAGTGCAATGCCAATTAAAAGCCCAAACTAGGTCCTCATGTATGTATTTTTATCATATTCACCTCTGGTCCTCCTTCTAACTCCTCCTAGATCCACACCACACCTCCCTCCCAACTTTATGTCCTCTCTCTCTTTTTTTTTTCTTTTCTTTTCTTTTTTTTTTTTTTAAATAACCCACAGAGTTCAATTTTTACTGCTCCCAAAATACTATTGACCGTGGTCTACCTAGCTAGGACCCACCCCCTTAAGGAAAGTGACTCTGGCTGGAATTAAAGGCTTTTGTGGTAATGCAGGCTTTTAATCCCAGCACTGGGGAGGCAGAGGCAGGTAGATCTCTGTGAGATCCTAGCCATCTTGGTCTACATAATGAATTCCAGGCCTGCTGGGGCTGCACTGAAACCTTGTCTCAAAGAAACAAAGCAAACAAACAAAAAGTGATTCCTTCCCCAGAAGCCATCAACTATCCTCAGCCATGGGTTGGGAGTATATTAGCTCCTCTGCTCCATCCTGGAATGTTGACTGGCTTCATCTGAGATGCTTTTATTAGAAAATAGAACAGAGAAGGCTAGAGAGATGACTCCGCAGTTAAGAGCATGTACTGCTCTTGCAGAGAACCTGAGTTCATTTCCCAGCACCCACATTGGCTGGCTCACAACTGCCTGAAACTCCAGCTCCAGGGCATCCAACGCCTCTTCTCACTTCCACAGGTACCTGCACTCATGTGCACGGGCACACTTATACACATGGTTAAAAATAAATTCTTTTTGAAGAAAAAAGAAAGAAAACAGGACAGATGAAAAATGAATTAACCATTCAGGTTCTTGAGAAAAATGTCAAAATAAATTCAATGAAGGTGGATGGGAGTTACAAGTTTTAAAAAGAAATAGAACACCATAACCCCATGGAAGCGACATTAAAATTCTGGTGTTTGAATTTGCTCTTTTTCAGGTATAAAGGAATCACGGATGGCCGTGTTCGGCTCCTCTGGTTCCTGCAGACTTTCCTGTTTGGTATAGCATCCCTCTCTATCTTGATTGCTTATAGACCAAAGCGTCAAAAATGCACTTAAAAGAGAAAGCAAAAATCTTCCTCTGGCACTGGAGAAATGGCTCAATGGTTAAGAACACTTGCTTTTCTTCCAGACAACCCAGGTTCAATTCCTAGCACCCACATGGCAGCTAACACCTGTCTGTAACTTCAGTTCCAGGGAATCTGACACCTTCTGACATCTGCAGGCATTGCATGCACATGGTGTACTTACATACATGCAGGTAAAATACTCATACACGTAAAGTAAAATCAAAAAAAAAAAATCTTCCTCTCCACTTCTACAAACTCTCCTTTCGAGGGTGCTAGTTTATTTGGTGGTCTTTCTGTTCTCTGTCATACAAAGCTGTCTTAAGACCCGCTGGTTCCCCACTTTTCTTTCAGATGCTCTGATTGACCTTGGATAGAACAATTGCTATTTATGAAAGATTCTGACTTTCCATCTCTGCAGACTCACCTGCCTTGCACAGGTTTTGGGCCACTTTCCTGAGGTCCTTGACTGTGTTGGTACTCTCCGGCCATTTGGCTAAGACAGACTAGATTCGCTTATTGGTCCACCTTTGTTCCTACTTTCTGACCAACACACCCTCAGGTTTCCCCACCAATATCTTAGCTCTCCATTCCCAAATCTACCTTTGGGATCAGTTTTTCACCTTTGGAAATGGACGTACAGTGAAACTTCCCCATAAGCTCGGTATCAGGCCACTACTGTGGCCCATGAGACATGGTGCCTCTGTGGTGTGCAGGGAGCTGGTGGGCACTGCTGGATTGCTCCTTCAGCTTGGGCCACCCCGTAGCTTTCCTTTCCTCCCTGCACTCGGGCCTCAGCTACATCCCATCCGTGGTACTGACCAAAGCTGAAAGCCCAGTGTCACTGTGCTCCGTGTGAAACCGTCTCTGTCCTGCTCCATGTGAAGATTACTGAGCCCATGCATGTACTCCCAGCAGAAATGCGCACAACTGTGTCCAGTTGGCATTGCCCCCTCTGGGTCCTCCAAGGGAGACCGGGTCTTCCCCACTTTCCTACTGGGTCATTCTCTCTCCAGCACTGGCTTAGTTATACCAGCATTACTATTCTGGCAATTCTAGCCTGTGGGTTATCCAACCCGCTACTACCTCCTCATTCAGTGGATATACCTGACTGCTAGTTGGGAAGGGTCACTGCCTCTGTCCCCTAACCCTGGCAGGATGACACTGTCCATTCAGGAGCCATGCCTGCTCCTTTTTGGACAGTCACCTGTTTTCAGGGAAGTTCCTCATTTCCCTCCCAGAAGAGGTTGGGGCAGGTCATTTGTATTTGCAAACATTTATGAGAAACAACTCACCCCAGGAAAGCCCCCAAGTGGAAACCCCACCCCGAAAGATTACGGACTGTGAGCTGTTAGTAGTGGAGATGGATTCTTGTAGCTGTATCTCAGTCTGTCCTCTTTGTTTTGTGATTAAGGGGTTGCATTTTGGTGACCAAGATTTTTGACCCCAGAATTAAACATGCAAAACTGTCCATGAATTTTTTTTTTTTTAAAGAATGGGCCTCTCCAAACGTATTGATTAAGTGCATTGACTTGAATAAAATGCTGTGATGTTCTCTCTCATCACATGCTGTTTTGTGTATTTGTCAGTTTGGATGTGTTGTTCACATGTGTTTTTTTCTTCAAATAGGCGTCTCTCAGAAACTGTGTGTCCTTCAGATATCAGGGTGCTTCTCTTTGACAAGCTGAGGAACACCCTGGTGCTGGGGTACACGCTTGTTTCCTTGTTGGTACAGCTGCATGTGACCCACTTAACACTCCCATGCTCACTGAGCTATCGGGGAGCACCAGGCCTCCATTTCATTGTAGGAGTGTCTCTTATTTCTGTTTCCATTTATAGTTGATAAAATTTGTGCAGCAGGAGAAGAGTGTTCTGGCATTTTTTAATGCAGTCAGCCTTTGCACTTTTTTTTGTGTGTGTTTTTTTGCATGCGGTTTTGTTATTGGTGGTGGTGGTAGTGGTGGTGTGTGTGTCTGTAAGGGTCTTATGTTTCCCAGGCTGGCCTTGAACTCTGTATGTAGATGAGATTGACCTTAAACTTGTGATCCTTTGCCTCTGCCTCTGGAGTGCTGGAATTATAGTTGTTCACTACCACTTCTGGCTCCTTTAGGTCATTTTTAAGGGTTTCCCTCACCTCTTCAATATCAGATCTTTCACCCTCATTAAGATACTAAATTTCTTCATAATAATTACTGATAAACTGGGTGTGGTACACTGCTTTAAACCCAGCACTCAGGAGACAGAGGCAGTTTATGGATCCCTATGAGATTCAGGCCAGCCTGGTATATATAGCAAGTTCCAGGCCAGCCTCGGCTACATAGGGAGACTTCTTTGAAAAGAGCCCTGGAATCATCTTACACCTGTCTCTGTCTAAACTTAGCAAAGTATGTATATGTCTTTTTGAGACAGGGTTTCCCTGTAGCCCCAGCTGTCCTGGAACTCACTATGTAGACCAGGCTGGCCTTGAACTTACAGAGATCTGCCTGCCTCTGCCTCCCAAGTGCTGGGACTAAAGGCATGCGCCACCACGCCCGGCATGTCTTTATATTTTAAGTCCAGCACCTAGGCTATCTCCCTGTTAGTGTCTGTTAAATGCTTTCTTTCAGCATAGGTGATATTTTCCTGTTACTTCATTTTTTTATTGGACATTGGACACTGTGGAAATGTTGTCAACACTGGATTTTCTTCTTAAAGAGCAATTGTGTTCCTGAACACTTGACTAAACTCCAGGAATTTAAAATCCTAAAAATTTTCTCATCCACATCTGTGCCTTCACCAAGGAGGGAACCAACTCTATCCCAGGGCTTGGTCTGTCCACTGCATGGCTCCATCTCAGCTCCTGAGGACAAAAGGATCCAATCTGGAGGATGGAATCCACAGAGCACTTTATTTGGGGAGTGTGGAGGTGTTGTTGATAGTATCTTGCTCTATAACTGTGACTAGCCTGGCCATCATGTAACTCAGGCTGGCCTCAAACTCACTACAATCTTCCTGCCTCAGCCTCCTGAGTGCCAAGACTACTGACATGCACCACCACACCTGACTGCACAGCTCTTTAAGGACACTGATATACCTACCACCTTATCCCTGAAGACCCTAAGGTAATTCCTACCAAGATGACTGAGTAGCTCAGTTTATTCTGTCCTCAGTAGTGAACCCTGAAGAAACAGGAGGAATATGGATTCCTAAAACTAAGGGAGAGTTCCTCCCCACCTCCTTAGACTGAAGACTCAGAATATTCTGTGGAAATGCTGTAGACTAGGGGCATGGACAACCCAGGTGAAGAAGTTTATATAGTGCTTTCTGGTCCTGTTCCCTCAAATAGCCTTGGGATACACGGTTATTAGTGTGACCCTTTTAACACAGTATAACCCCATCTAACATGCTGCCTAGTCACTAAACAATACAAAACCCGACGGGGGGATGGGAAAGCTAGTTCAGAAAAATAGATATAGAGCGCACTCAGGCATCCACTCCTTTGTGCCCTTGACCAAATTCCCAAGATTATATGTTACAGTATTTTTAGAGGCTGATGAGATGACTTAGTGGGTTAAAGCACGAGCCAACATGCCTTTTAACCTGTTCTTAATCCCCAGGACCCACATGATGGAGAGCCAACTCTCACAAGTTGTCTTATGACCTCCACATGCACACCATGGCATGCACACACATATAATATATATATAGGCAAGTACACACATCATCACACACACAAGAATTAAATCTTGACTGCATATTTGATACGGTAGGACCATCTTCAATGACTCTCTGAGTTCATCAACATTTTGCTTTTATAACTATCAATAATGAGAGTGCCACTTCGCATAATACTACAAAACAGCAAAAGTAAGTTTAGAGCCATT